CCTCCCTCCCTCCCTCCCTCCCTCTACTTTGTTTGATTGGGAGTTTCTGCTTGGGGGGTCCTAAACAACTTAAAGGCGGGTCACCTACCCCCAGGGGTGGGTTCCTACCAGTTCCCCTTTTCTACAGAAGAGGTTCCACAAATCTACAGTGCTGTTTAGAAATAGTTCCAGCTCCCTCCCCCTGCCCGTCTGCACATCATCAAGATGAAGAGTGAGAGGAGGAATTCTGGGAGTTGAAATCCACAAGTCTTAAAGCTGTCAAGTTTGAACACCTATGGGTTTTTTTCTAAAGTATTAGGGGTGGATCTTGTAACTTGACAGCTTTGAGACTTGCACACTTCAATGCCAGAGTTCCTGCGCCATCATGGGGAGGAATTCTGGGAACTCCACAAATCCACAAGCCACTCCCATCCAGTCACATGGTCAGTAAGCCACTTCTACAAAGCAGGCCACACCTACAGAAGAGGTTCTAAAAAAAATTGAAACCCACCACTGCCCACCCCCACCCCACGAGTTTGTTTTGGAGAGGGGGGGGGAGAACCGGCAACTCCCCTGGCTCCACGCAACCTGGCAACCGAAGGGCAGCCAAAGGCCCGAGGGCGTAAAGGCTCCAGTGAAACCAGGAAGCAAGTGCTGCTCTTCCCAGGGGAGTCCCTCTCCGGCGCGGGGATGCAAATCTTCCCCGGCCTTGGACGGCCTGCTTTGCATAGAGAGGCCAGGCGTCCTCGGGGGAGTCCCGGCCCGCCGCCTCGGGCAGATGCGGTGCCTGATGCTGGAGCAGTCAAGAGCGGGCAATCCCGGGCGGAGGCGGGAGCGCATCCCTCCCAACCCGCCTGGAAAGAGAGCCAGCCTCACTCGGAAGACGGAGCCGGCGAGCTCATCTCGGCCGCCCCCGCGGGCGGCACCGGGCGCTTCTGACTTCCAGCGCCGGGCTCGGCTCCTCTGCAGCCGCCAGCAGCTGCTGCTGCCCCAAGGCTCGCCTGAAGGGCCGCGGCCCCTTCCCTGAACCGGCCACCGCTGGACAAGAGTTGCCCAAGCTGTTCGGCTGCCCTGGAAGGTCGCGTCGATCAGCGCTCTTGCCCGCTCCCGCAGAGCTCATTTGCTGGCTGCGAAAGTGCAGTTGCTGCCCGGGGAAGAGAGACCCCCGACGACGCGCTCCCTTCACCGGGGCTGCTCGGCGGGGAGACCAGAGCCCTGTCCTGCCCCGCCAGGCAGCAGCTCCATAGCGCTTTCGGGGCGCTGCCCGATTAACGCAGCTGCTTCCGACGGAGTTCCCGAGGGTGCGGCCCCTTCCTTGCACTGAAGGCGGCCTTCTGCCCTGCAGCCTCCCCGCCATATCACCGCCCTCAGCGGAGGGTTGCTTGGCCGCCGTTCCCGGGAGGCTCCGGCCTTTCGAGCGCCGTCGCGGGGGGAGGCCTGGGAGGGCGAGGTGAGCGGAGCCGCCGACAGGAGCTCCAGGCCCCGCGTTCCTCCCCCTCCAGCGGCTCCCAACAACCTCGCGAGGCAGGCAGGCCCGTCCCAGCCAACCCCCGGCCACGGGTTCCATCCGCCCGCCGCGCCTCTTCCGCGGAGACCTTCCAAGACAAGCCCGGAGGGGGGAGAGGCGGAGGCGGCGCCACCCGGGCAGCCCTCGCCCTCCATAAAGAGGCGGCGACGCGCGGACGGGAACACTTCGCCCCCATGGAGGCGGCCGGTAAGCAACGGCGCGGCTCGGGGGTGGCGGGGTTTCTCTCCGCGCGAGAGGGGCGAACGGGGAGGGCGCTGGCCGGACCGGGGCTCGGAGTCCCACTTCCCGTGGAAAGGCCCTCTCCCTCTAGCCTTAAGGTGGCCGCCGCTTCCTGCCCCGCCGCTTCGGGGAAGCCCGGCTGGGCGCCCCGTGTCGGGACTGGTAGCGAGCGGAGAAGCGCCGAGCCCTCCCCCGTTTCCTGCCGGGCTCGGCCGGTTTCCCCCTTCGGAGGGCGGGGCGCACTTCTGTTTGGAGGGAGGAGCCTGGCCGAGCTCGGGATCGCCTTGCCCGACCCGCGGGCTCTCCTGCTTCTCCGGCCCGGCCGCCTTCCTAGCTGCGCGCTTCTCTCGGCAGGCCAGGCGTGAGCGAGCGAGGAGCAGCGCCGCCAGAAGCAGCAGCAGCAGCCATGGACCTGGACCGACCGCCGCCCAGCGCCCTGCGCTTCTCCGGCTGGGCCGAGCCCCCGCTGCCCTGCGCTCGCGCCGTGGGCCGCGAAGAGCCTCCGGAAAGCGGCTACCTGAGTCTCTGCGGCTGCAGCCTGGAGGGCAGCGGAGAATCCGGCGGGGGAGGCGACCCCTGGAGCGCCCCCGAGCAGGGCCGAGCGGAGAGGCGGCAGAAAGTTGAGTTCTTCCGCAAGTTGGGCTACTCTTCGCAGGAGGTGCTGGGCGCCCTGCAGAAGCACGGGCCGGAGGCGGACACCAACACCATCCTGGGGGAGCTGGTCAAGCACGGGGCGGCCCCCGGCGAGAGGGAGAGAGAGCCCGCCCCGGAGGCCCCCGAGCCGCCGGTGCCGCTTCCCAGAGCGCGGCCTGCCCCCAACAGCCCCCCGACCCAGCCGGGGCCTCCGGAGGAGCAGGACGGGGATCATCTGCGGCCGATCGTCATTGATGGGAGCAACGTGGCCATGAGGTGTGTCTAGGCGGGCTCCTCCGCGTTGGGACCCAGTTGGTCCGGGAAAGTTCTGCCGCCGTGGCCGGGCCGGCTTGGGGGGGACTCTGGGGGGCTCTTTCCTCTTCTGGGTCCCTGGATGTGCTGGGGCACAAAGCGGGCGCCCTTCTCAGCCCTGCCGCTTGCGGGCTCGGGGATTCACACCCGTCGGGTTCAAGCAAAGACGCGACCCCCATGCTCCAGACTTCAGGGAGGGAAAGGGGAGGCTGCCCCCAGAAAGGGAGGTTTGGCCTTGGGAGGTGAACTAGTCCGGAGTGAGCTGCTTCCAGCCACAGACACAAACACACACTTCCCACATTGTGAGTTGCTGGATCTCTCATCCACTGGGTTCTGACCTTGCAGTGGAAACAAAATGGGTCTTCGGAGAACGAAAGTACCACCAGGCTTCCATTTCCTCATGGCAGTCCTGCCCATGCATTCCTAGTGAGATCGCCACCACCACCACCACCAAAAAATCCAGATCTTGGGATCTGGTGTTGATCTGGAGTGGGGAACAATGGAGGCGGTTGAGGCTGAAACCCCCTCGATGTCTCTGCTTTGGCTTCCCTCCTTCTTAACCCTACAGATGGCCATAAGAAGTCATTTTATCTTCTTGGGGGTTTCATAATGTTTGGTTGCTGGATTTTGATAATACTGTAAGGCTACGTGATTAGATGAGATTGGACAGGTGGGTTTTGGGGGTGGTGCATCCTTGTCTTTGTTGCATGTGAGGGGGTCTGCTTGGGACCCCCTGCAATTCCCTCTATTTCTGAAGCAGGAAGGATTTTGCCAGGAGGCTGGGGGAGCATGTGGCAACCAGTCTTGTGGCTCAGGCAGCTCTGCCTTTCAGCTGCATTGACTCTGTTGGGCAAACATTCTTTCTTATCTAAACAGGAAGAAACCCAGTGACTCAAGCACCAGTGCCTGCGGGAGCATTTTTCTCTTCCTCCAGAGGTCCCCCCCCCCCAATCAATTGGCCTCTCAGGGGGAAATGAAGGGGATGAGGCCCCACAGAGAGAGAGGCACTGGAGGAGAGGAGGCAAGCTCTGGGCACAACCAGGTGTGGCCCTTAGTGCAGACTGAATTGGAAAGAAGGGTGGAGGGCCCAGGTTGAAAACAGAATGAAGCCCAGCCAGTCCTGGGTGAGAGGGTGGCCACCCCAGGGAAGGGAACTCACATTGCTTCCCTGTCCGTGGGAGAAACATTTTGGTTTTGAGATGAAAGCTGTGCTTCCTAGAATAACAACTTCTCCATTTCCCAGGATTCTAAAACGGTTGGAAATACAGCAGCCCTCAATTTAAGACCACAGATGAGCCCAGAATTTCTGTTCCTAAGTGAGATAGTTAAGTGAGCTTCGCCCCATTTTACGATCTATCTTACCACAGTTGTTAAGTGAATCACTGCAGGTTTTTTTAAAGTTAGGAACATATTTGTTAAATGAATCTGTCTTCCCCATTGACTTTGCCCCACAAAAGGTGACCACTTGACCCCGGGACACTAACCGTCATAAATACATGCCAGTTGGCAAGTGTCCAAATTTTGATCATGTGACCATGGGGATGCTCGAATAATCGTGAATGTGATAAACGATCATAGGTCACTTTTTTCAGTGCTGTTGTAACTTTGGTTGCTAAATGAATTGTTGTAAGTTGAGGACTACCTGCACACGATAGGGCAAGGATCCATGAACATTTATCCTGAGCTGTAGCTGCTTAAGTGGGGAATTTGCAGTTGGAGATGCTGGAAGATGCGGCATTCTCTCCTAAGCACCATGCGCTGGCTTAACCACTGAACCTGGAACTTTCCTGGCAAGTATCACTGACTGATCACGTGATGCCAGCAGTGGTGGGGCTGCAAAAATCTGGACCGCTCCCAGATGGCAGGAAAAAGACAATCGAGCCATAATTCTGCTCTTGGCAATCCAGATCTGGTAGCCTGCAGGGAGAAGCTAGCAGCAGTTCCGGACTTCTATCCTTTCCTTGCTGTATTTAAGATAAGCCAGATTGCTCTCCAGCTGTAAATGCCGGCCAGAGGGCACTTTCTGTTGAAAAGGGAGGGGGGCGAGTGGAGTTTCTGAGTGGTGCCTGGAGCAGCAGAGAAGGAGTTTCTGAACAATCTCTTTTCAAGGAAAAAAAAAAAACCAAGGGGAATTTTTACAGACTGCTTCCTGCATGAGTGGAGTGACGAACTGTTCCTCACCGATTTACCCTTGCTTGGATAACACTTGTGGCAGGTTTATGCAAATCTTGGGAGGGATGTGTGCAGAGCAGAATTGTCCCCGACTTCCTTCTACGGGAATTTCTCACGTCTGTTGCCACATCAGATGAACTACTTGGACATGTTGAGAATGGGGAAACGTTGGAGGAGATCCCGTCCCTGGTATTCCTTACTCATCCTGAATTGCACTTGCAGGATACGGAGGGGGAGCAGAAGGGCAGGGTTGGCTAGGCAGCTTTGTGGAGGGGGTAGTTTTCAGAAAAAGTAGGTAACGAGCTGTAGTCTTCCTGATTTCATCACTGCTTTTTCTAACATTGGACCCAGGAAATAATAGAATAACAGAGTTGGAAGAGACCTTGGAGGTCTTTTAGTCCAAACCCCCTGCCCAAGTGGAGACCCTATGCCATTGCAGATAAGTGGCTGTCCAGTCTCTTTTTAAAAGCCCCCAGTGATGGAGAAACCACAACTTCAGACTAAATGAGAGTGGCAACCTTCATAAGAGCCCACCCTCTGAGAAGAGTATGCCCTGGGGCAGGGGTTGGCAAACTTAAACACTCAAAGAGCCATTTGGACCCATTTCCCACAGAAAAGAAAACACCAGGAGCCACAAAGGTCCTTACCAGAAGCACCCCCCCTTTCAATTCTGAAGCTGATCGGAAGTTCAGTTCCCCCAGCATAGAGTCTCCTCCTAGAGTGGTGTACTTTTTCCTCTACATGTCATAACCGAAAGCCCTGTCAATTGTGGAGACAACTGGAAAACCCACCCCTTGCCATAGAGTCTTCTCCTGGCACACTGTGCTTCTCTCCCACCGGAAGCTCCTCTCAAAATTGTGGTGCCGACCGGTGACGGAGCCGCAGCAGAGGGAGGAAAGAGCCACATGTGGCTCCAGAACGTAGTTTGCTGACCCCTGCCCTGAGAGACTGAGGGGCAAGTAACAGCCTTGCTATTTATTTCATTTGATATGTGTGAACTCTACATTAAATTGGGTGGTGCTGGGATTAAACTGGGATTAAATATTCACCCAGTAGCAAGGTATGAAGAGTTGTATTACCTGCTCTAAGCAATAGCAATAGCACTTAAACTTATATACCACTTCATAGTGCTTTACAGCTCTCTAAGCGGTTTACATCTTGGATGAGAAGTGAAACATCTTCAAACTAAAAAACAGCAAGTCCAGTTACTCCTTGAAAAATCACCTTTGGAACAAACATGACCTAGATGACTGAGAATCGCCATAGATACTGCTTGCTCTATACCTGTGATGGTGAACCTAGGGCACGCGTGTCTCAGGTGGCACGTGGAGCCATTTGTAGGGGCACACAAGGCGTCCAGAGGGCAAAAAACAACCCAACGGACAAACCTGCTTTTGGCACACAATGGGAAATGCTCTATACCAGCGATGGCGAACCTTTTTTGGCTCACGTGCCATAAGTGGGGGTCATGCGCAGGTGTGCCGCAGCCTTAATACAATGCGTGACCCCCCAGTGCATATGCGTGTACTGCAGACGCAACCCCCCCCCCATTTTTTTGCATCCTTTTTTCACCCTCCCCAGGCTCCAGAGGATTTATAGGAGCCTGGGGAGGACAAAAGCATCCTTCCCCACCCCTCCGGAGGCCCTCCGGAGGCTTCAGGGGGCTTCCCAGAAGCCTCCGGAGCACTTAAAATGACCCTCCGAGCAAACCGGAAGTCCATTCCCAAACTTCCGGTTTGCCCATAGGGCCGGTTTTTTTGCACTCTAGAGGCTTCAGGGAAGCTATGAAGCCTCCGGAGGGGCTCCAGCAGGGGGCGGGGGAGCTCTTTTTGTCCTCCCCAGGCTCCTATAAAGCCTCTGGAGGCTGGGGAGGGTGAAAAATGGCTTTTAAAAAGGGTGAACTCAGCTGGCCAGCGCACGCATGCGCATGCTCTGACAAATGGCTCCACGTGCCACCTGTGACACACGTGTCATAGATTCGCCACCCCAGCTCTATACTGTATTAGTGAGGCCACACATGGAATATTGCACCCAGTTCTGCTTTACCACAATACAAAAAGATGCCTAGGCTTCAGAAATCATGCTGAGAAGAGAAACAAAGAAAGATGAGAAGGGGTCTGAAGGCTAAATCATGTGATGTCTTAGTGGTTTTGCTCTCCAAGCTTGTTTCAATTTAGTTTCTGAATGTTCTGTTACCAGACTAGGTAACATCATCAGGTCTGGGAGCAAAATGTTCAGAAACTACATTCAGAAACAAGCCTGGAGCACAACCACTGCCAAAATCTAAAACCTTAGCTACATGTATTTTCTATTATTTCCATGTATGATGAAGGATTGAGGAACTGGATATGTGCGACTGAAGGGATTAGGGGTAATGGCTGTCTTCCAGTACTTGAGGAGCTGTCACAAAAAAGATGGAGGTCTCACAGTAGGCAATAAAAACTGATATAAAAACACATTAGACGCTTCCCACCAGCTTTCCATTGACCAGCCCCAATTCAACACATCCCAGTTCAATGTTTAAGGGAAGAGCCAAGTTTTTACAGCCTTCCAGAAAACTAAAAGGATAATGCCTATCTCAGCAGGAGGTTATTCCAAAAGTCCAGGCAGCTACCAAGAAGTTGCACCTCCAAACTCTGGGAGAGCCAATGGCCAGCATCTGGAATCATGCAGGAGCCAGGGCAATTGATGCAAGTGGGATGCAGTGGGGGCAAACTGCGGTGCCCAGAACTGTGCATGCCTCTGTATCCTGGACCAGCTGCAGCCCCCTGTAGTGTGCAGTGTAGTAGTCCAACTGAGAAGGGATTGCTGGCAAAACTGCTGGTTTCCCCATGCCAGGTCTAGTTCTTGTGCCAACTCCATCAGATGGCAAACCCTTCTTTCTGCTGTTCCCAACTTTCCTTTGCTCTGCTGCAGAGGTCTTCAAACTTGGCAACTTTAAGATTTGTGGACTTCAACTCCCAGAACTCTCCAGCCAGGAGTTGAAGTCCACAAGTCTTAAAGTTGCCAAGTTTGGGGAGCCCTGCTCTATTGCTTTGGCCATCTTATTAGTGCTGACACTGAACATTAAACTCATCTTTCCAGACAATGGATTTGAGTAGGGAGAGCAGCAGGGAGCAGGCAGAAGAGTTGGGTCTATATGGATCACTTTTAAAGGCAGTGCAGGGAAGGACTTGCTGCAACGAGGCCCAACCCCATCAAACTTCATCTTCTTGTATCTTCGGTAAACTCTCATTTCACAGCAGCTCTTCAAGTTTTTTAAATTGCAGCGCCATTGTTTTCGGGGATTTGTCCAGGAGATAGGAGAACAAGTTGTTGATTAGGAGGACCATTTATGTTTGATGAAAGTAACACTGCCCAAATGCCAAGGGCTTGCACTATTATGCTGAAGTGGATAGAAACTATGGGATGTATAGAGGGGTGTTTGCCTTTTTCTCACCCTATTCCTAGCAAAACGTTGCAATGGAGCTCCCTCATCAGCCTGGCACCCCACAGGATTTAGCTCTCCAAGGAGAGGTGGCTAGTCCCCCTGGCACCAAGAGAAGGTATTCGCACCTGGGAAGAGAGCAGTGGTGGGTTTCAAATCCTGTTCCAACTGGTACAGTTGGAACGGGGCCAGCAGTGTCCTCATGGACGCCTGCAGCGCACACATGCACATGCATCTTAGGCCTCTGCTTCAGCTGCTCCGCGGAGCATTGCGCAGGTGCTATACCCACCATGCACGTGCACGGCAGTGCAGAAGCTTTAAAACACAGGTAAGGAGCTCAGGTGGGTGGGCGGGCCCTCCAGAGCACCATACCAGAATGGTATCTGGTGCTCCGGGGTGGCTCTGGTACGCCTGTACCGGGGCATACCACCTGCAACCCACCACTGGACGAGAGGCATTAGAAAGGGAGTAGGGAAGGAGATGGATGCCTCCCAAGCATCTTGAAGACCTGCTCAGGGAGGGAAGAGGGGTCAGCAGAACAGCCCCTCCAGGCTGAAGAGGAGAGGGAGGGATAGAAGGGGTAGGTACAGATGAGAAGGTTGCGGTGGTTTTCAAGAATACATTATTTTCCCTGTAGGTTTCTCATTCATCTAAGAATTGAAATTAGTGCTGGAATTGAATACAATAGGTTGGAAGGGACCTTGGATGTCTTCTAGTTCAACTTCCTGCTTAGGCAGGAAACTCTACACCACTTCAGACGTGTTTATCCAATCTGTTCTTAAAAACTTCCAGTGTTTGAGCAGTCACAACTTTTGGAGGCAAGCTGTTCCACTGATTAATTGTTCTAACTTTCAGGAAATTTCTCCTTAGTTCTAAGTTGCTTCT